GGGGTATGGACAAGGCAATCGTAATGCCGTGCTGGTGGGTGTGACGAACGACGCTACATTCAGCGCAACAGTTGTCCTAATTGACCGTTTCAATCGAGTGTTAAAGAAGTGGGAACAAACAGTTTCGCCTCTTCATAGTATCTGTCCTCCCTTCATGTCAAACAAGTTTCGCTGCTCAGATCAAACCGATAAATATCGAGAACTCGTCGCGCAACGTCGCAGGACGTGCCGCGCGGCGACAAATCACGACTGTTTTTGTCCGCCTCGTTGATAAAGGATCCAAACTCGTAAAGAATTTTACGAGAAAGGAACCGGTAGCTATTCTCACTTATGTTTGAGGTCTAGCTACGTCAATTGATTGCTGTGCTTGCGCGATTCCACATTGATAGCAATAATCATATTACATCGGTCTCGCTTTGTCATGATTACCACATTCACGTCATTACGCGATTCGCAACTCCTTCCACCATCATTGTATACTCATTACAATGGATAAAGCCTTCAACTATTCATCCATTTTGTATCATTTTGTAATCCGGCGACGCATTCCACTTCATTCAGAATTTTCAATGATATTTAAGATGCGATTTTGCCTATTCAGCCTTTGCGAGCGCTAGCGATGAAAAATTACTGAGTTCCCATCCCTCCCCCACCGCCCCCCCCCCCTCCGAGAGACCGTATGCCTACAATATACAATCCGTAAAAGATTAGAGAGAGCCTGTTTGGATCGGTTCGGGAGCTCATCGGATATTAGACCCAAGACCCGCAGTCTACCTTACCCACTTTCGTATCTTTATGACGCGGAATGTAAAAAAAAATCACATGATGTTTTACGTTGCACGAAAAGTTGTTCTATTTCAATTAGTAGATTCGCCTATGGGTGTCCTGGGTATGCGAAGCACAGATCAATCAAGAACTTTTCTTCCCTGTACCGCACACTGCCACACACTGGGGTGGGCTTGCTGGCGAGCACCGGTCGAGCGAGCCGAAAGTAGAGTTTCGTGAAAATCGAATGAAGTCGATTGAACTGCACCTCACCAGCTTACCCCACCTTTATAGGCGCGCGATTAGAAAGCGGTACATTGTTGAAGCATACATATAGAGATACATATAAGCGATAAGATAGATCTTATCACTTCTAGCACAACAAAACAACAGTGTTGAACAGGTTGAAACGAAAACAAAACTGATAACACAAACGATTATATCAACAGTTACATTTTATCGCTTATGGTTAGTATTTTGTTTTCTGGTTAATTCGTGATTCAGACAGGGAAAAGCACCTGTTTTTTGGGTGTGTTATAGCTCAGATTGGCTTAATGTGGACTTAATGAGTTGACAGGATTTCTACCAACTTCATAGTTTGTATGCTTAGCGTGGAAGTGTGAACTGCGGCGTAGTTCACATCCGTTGCGTCGGCCTAGGGGTTAAACTTGCAGAGTATTTAGTGAAGTATGTTCATACTTTGCGTCAGGGCGGTTCAGCGGCTCTGAGCGACTATGAAAGTACATCTATCGATCCAGCGGTTTGAGCTTCCAGGCAGCGTTTTGAGAGACAAAGAACTGTAGGTATGCGATTATCGCTGAGAAACGAAGTATGAACGCCTTAGGGTAGTTGACTTGATGCGCTGAGCTCCCATGCCGCATTGAAATTAACGGGATCTTGATGTTGAATTTCGAAGAGAGAATGACGTATTCGTGATTGCATCTTTCCCACGTCGCGCCTGTGCTTGGATCCATAAACAGTCTTGAGCTTCTGGCGTAATTTAATTGCGATTAGTGTAAGCATAGAGGGTGGCAAGAGCTGCAAGGGCCAAACTATATACATTACGCTTGATGCAATAAATTATGCTGTTGGCTCTTCTGGAATGATTTTAGGAAAGCCTGTTAATCTTTCCCTTTTAGCAGTAGCAAATTGAATTTTCGAGAGTTTCTTCACTGTATCGAAGGAAGAAGCAGAAGGTAATGAAAAAGGATGGCTTCCGTGGAAGGAGTCGAAGTTCAAGCCATCAACGTTTGCCTAGGGTAACAAGAGCGTGGAGACTCGACGATAAACTTTTTTGAGATCGTTTTGTCTAACGATCTCAGTAGTGCTGTCCTACTAAAGGGCATACGCGAGCCTGCCACCAGTGTCACCTTCCATATTTGCAAAAAGTTGAAGACATTCAATAATTCTTGTTGGCGCTGAAGAAGGCCACATAGTATTGGGCCGGCCTGAAAGCCAGCCTTGCGCCAGATTTTCCAAGGTTGAATCACTTCTATCCTTTCATTTCTGTAAACCACTAACTTTGTGTCTCGGTTTGGTATGTTTGTATGTATGTAGCGTGAGCCGGAGGTGGTGTAGATGACCAGTGGCGGCTACACTCGCCGCGGCGCCGGGTTGCGAATCCCGGGTCGACTCCCGCCCAGGCAACCAAGCCTTTCTACCCTCCGGCGACTGGTGAATTGGCTAACCAGATTTGTCTGGGAGGATAAAACGCTGACTTGTACATCGGCGGGCCAGCCCAAAATCATTGTATTAGGGCCACTATCGCTCCAAATAGGCCACAGACCTGAATGGAAGTAGAATGCGTGCCGCATCGCCATAAAGGGATTGATGCACCGGCGAGGATATCCTATCTTTTTTTTAACTTTTTATGTAATGTCGGTACGTAGGTTTGTTATGTATGTTTGCCGTCCGTATGGATGCCTCACGGAGTTGAGTTAAGGGAGGCGAAGAAAGACCGCTAAGACGAACGCGTGACCGATTGTGAGGAACTATATCATCCAGTGCTTTTGATTGTGTTAACAGTCAATCCACTATATAAGTAATGAGCTTTTTTAGTAAATTTTGAGTGAAATGTTTATATCTGATTGTCTAGGTTCCTTACTACAATTTTTCCTATCTATGGTAGAGGGCGGTGACGATACAAGTAGTAGCCTTAGTTTCCGTTTCGCACAGTGGCCCTTTAGACGGGAAACCCAAGCAGTTGTTATACTCCTCCTTCTGTGCTCATCAGAAGGGAAGGAGGAACAAGGCTATTTATGTATTTATTGTGATAATTACTATTATTACTGGCACTTAGTAAACTGTTAGTAAAAATATTCTTTTGCAGTTAATTCAGTTGTTCTTTTTATAAAAAATTTACTTGGTCAAGCCTTTTATGTTAACAAATTTTATGATACTAATGTAGGCTTCTTTCTGTCAACACAATAATATTTCAACTCGTGCGCCAAAAATCTACCCTATGTGCAAACATGACGGAAAGAAACTTTCATTGTTAATTTGAATCTCAGTAATATTAAGAATAATATGCATCTTAATAATTAATATTTTAAAAATTTTCCAAAAAGAAAAAGATTACCATTCGCTTTCTTCACTCCGAGCCGTTGCCGCTAGCTGGGCTGGCGTGGCAGCTGGACCGTGTTGCTCGTGGCGGGAGCAGGAGTGGGGTGGAACCGAGGGGGGGGCGCACGCGGGTGACCCTCCCTTCCTCCTGCCTTTCTTCCCCTGCACGTGCCTAAGCGCGCACCTAGCATAGTGCAAGTTAAGGATGCAGTGGGGAGGGGGTAGGGTGCAGGAGCGAGGGCGTACGTGCACGCTGAATTAGGTAACAAAGGGCAGGAGAGGAGGATAAACCGCTAGAGAATTGCAAGGCCTATCTATAATGACAGTAGCAATTTAAGATATTGTTGTGATTGGTGTTAACACTCTTCACCCTACAGTACATTCCCAGATCATTGCTCAAAGGCTGCCTTGCATGCAGGCGGATGTGACGCTAGCGCCGTGGGTTTGCTGCCATTTATTACAATTCCCGATTAAAACAGGGCATTATGGGTGCTTGGTGAGCGAACAACTCCTGTGGCGTCCATTCATGAAGTGGCGCCTGCCAAAGCCAATCGCAACTAAGATAAGGAGGAGAGTGGAGAGTTCGGCGTCAGCGGGCGATCCACTTGGTACCTCTATATTCATGATACTGTCGCAGACGGCATAATCCTCTTGAGCTGTTGTGTGGCTCGCTAGCTTTCTGGACCCATCTGGCAACTTAAACGTGCTGAAGGAGAGTTTTAGCTATCTTCCCCCTTACCCCTACTCACAACCGCCGATCAACGATCTATTCGAAATTTTCCGTAGAGCTAGAAGAGACAGGCACCTCGCATCAATCCTCACTGCAGAACTAGCAGTGTTGGCAAGCGCTGTCGGGTTAACGGGGGAATTGCGTATAGTGTACCGTGAAACGGGCAACATCAACATTTAGAAACAAAAATTCCTTTGAGCTACACTATGACCCTCCTCCAGCAGCACCGAATACGAACCCCCGGTGGTCCCTAACGCTACGGCACGCGTAGAATCCCTTGCCAGCGTTGGTTGGACGGATTCCTGAAGATACAAGAGGCCACTTCCGATTTGAACGTTATGAGTTGTTTTGGTTAGAAATCTCGCTGCTTATCCTATATCCAGGCTATCCACTTATACCGTGTACTCCTTAGCGAATTCTACGGGTGAACCGCACGACCAATTGTCTTTCTTTTGTCCCTTCCCCTTCCCGCGTAAGTGTGCAAATTGACTTTATTGTAGAACGGTGGTGTTTTAGCAAAAAGTATGCTCCAGTGTAGTGTGCCATGGCCTGTGCCTGTCTTTTGCGTCTCGTTTTCATTGACGTTCGGCTCGCCAGCGTTTTGACAGGCTTTTTTCTCATCTATTGGCTTTCACGGAGAATCTTTTCTGTATTGTTCCTTCTAGCCTTCGTTTTGCTTTATATATTATGTACTCCTCATCTGAAAGCGCCTCGGTTTTTTTTGTTTCTTGGTCCGGCGGCCTTCATTAATTTGATCTACTGCTCGAGGTGCAGTTCGTCGCGGGCGAAACACATCGCAGTCATGTCCTGTCAGGACTTCTAAACAGTTTCACCAGGCTAATCAGGTTTTGGCGAACGTTTTGGAATAGCCTTATTTCTATTTTCTTTTACCTTGTCTATGATGCATGAAATTACAAAAAGAACTTCCAGTATTATCGGAGCCATGGTGCTGCTGAACCCACAAAAGATCGATGAACAGTACAGACCGAGATGGAAAAGGTACGTAATGCCAACTTCCATCTTTACCTGAATTCAGTTGCCAATGTTCCAGCCACATTGATACGGAACTATGAGCTTATTTAAGCGCGCTCTTGTTAGCTGGCACAAACTGAATACCTGCAGCCGAAGCCTGGTAAGCCATCTGTTTTCTCCTTCAAAAAACTGCCTTACTCGCAGCTCCACTTCTTTGTTGTTTTTTATATTCTATTTTGCTACTACTATTACTATAGCTAATTCATTTCCTTACTGCGCGTAATCATCCGCGACAGCGCAGTTTTTCTCTTACTACACCAGTCATCGGAAAGATCGCTGACAGTCATTCTCGGAGGCAGACTTTGGCTAAAAAAATTTGACCCGTGGCGGTTAGCTGTGACCATACGAATTTTCACAATCCGCTCGACTCTGAGAATTTCCGGCCCGCGCGTTGATTTGCTTTGGCATCACAAATTCGCTGAAAAACTGCCTAGGGATGCTTGACCTCTTGACAACAATTATTACATCTGCGTGGGGTGTTGAGAAAATTAGAGACTTAAATGGGTAGAACGGCATGGCGCAGCCTGCTTCTGCTCCGCATACACCTTTGTATCCGAGAACTGATGCCTTCCGTCTGCTAGACGGCCTTCTAATGGAAACAGTGATTATCATAGGCAACCAGAAAGGGTGCCCTGCTTCTTCTCCCCAACGGCCCTAACACCACCGCTCGGTACGAAACGCACTGGAGTCCGTGCTACTACGCGCCGGAGTCGAACAAGCATTTGATGAGTTGTTGCGAAACGCATGCTATGTATGCGATGTTCGTGTTCTGAGGGTCAGCCTTCCTCTGCGGAACTAGTTTGCAGGGCGAACTTGCGTTTGTCGTTGATATTATTTGGCGAGCGGTGCTGCTGCGCGGACGCCAGAAGGTTCGGGGCCAGAAACGAACTGTGATGCGCTATTCCGTGCTCCAGGAGTCAAACTTGGGACCAACTTTTTAGCCAAAGTCTGCCCTCTGAAAAAGTCGCGTCGAAAAGCGATGCTGATTTCGGTATGCATTAGGACAGCTAAAACGGTGAATGGTCATCATTTTTCAAATTCTTTACACTAATTTTTTAGCATACCTCGTTGCAAAGATGGCCAACAATGGGCGCTATCTCCAAGGTCCGCCGCGTACTGTGAAGACATCACCCTTATCACCAAACTGAGGAACTGTTGGCCGCACCATGTACAAATATGAATCTGCGTTAGGGTGACCTCAAGTGATCTTGGGAAAAGGTTTGCATTTTATACTTACGCATTTGTTACATTTTCTTATTTCAAACAGTTTAAGGCATTACTCGAAGCAAGCCGAGCTTATCGCCATATGGCCGACAGTCAAAATATCAAAATGCCGAGAAAATGTATAAGCAAAACTTCATCGATCCGTGTAACCCATCTGCAGAATTAACGAGTGAAGGACGTTAACTGTAAGTGGAGCGAGAATGTTGTAATTACATACCTAATTAGGGGGCCTCCGTAGAATGAAATAAGAAGTGAATATAATGTTTGTAGCAGACGTCAGTGGCCGTGTACGTTAACATGCTCAGAAGAATGATGTGGCACTGACGTCACGTAACACGTCCAGTGACGTGTTTTGAGGCATTACCAGTATATTAAAACATGTTTAAAGTAGTGCAGGCGCGCATCTTCATTAACGGTGTCAAATGATACGTCATTCCTAACTTAACTGAATCTCCTGGACTTGCAGCTGCGTACAACAACTGCGGCCCCCAAAGTGGCTTCTGGGGAGCTAATACACTCGAGTTTATTGTGTAGTTGATAACCGAAAGATCGCCCTTCTCTGTTACGTAATCTCGGAAAGCGAGAAGATTGAAACAAGACAGCCTTCGAAAAATTGTGGATTCACACTTATGTTTTTGACATATTAGCACCTCCTAAAGCTTTTTTTGCGCATTTCTCGGGTGAAAGATGAGTTCAATTGTCAATTAGCAGAAAAATGGTCTGGTGAAGATCCGAACGCTTGTGGGATCGGCAGTTTTATGTTGGGCCTTGATTAAGGTATTGTGATGGCTATTTTTTGGTAAAAAAAAAACTCGAGTTCTGTTTCACTACAGCGGGACAACACAATACTTGAACTTTTACTTGTCCGAAAATCTGTCTTAATTGTATGAACGCGTTCAGACTTTGCCTGCGCGATTCGATCGCGTGCTCGGATTCTCGACCACGACCGGGTGCGGTCCGCCTCCAAGCGTTGCGCCGCACAACGGCAAAATTCAGATTTGGCGCGTTCACACACTGCCAGTGAGTTGTGCCGTTGTGATGTTGGCACCGTTTGGCCGGTGCCAGCGCTTCCGCGTCCTCGGTCGCTGCGGATCGCGAACTCTGAACCGCGGCCTGACTCGAATTTTCCTGGCTAATTTCTGTAAACAGAGATTAAACTGAGAGAATTGACATCCTCAACGGGAACATCATCTTTTGATGTGATTAATGTTTGCGTTTTTTAGCATCATCTATAAAACTCAAAGGGCGTCGCCTGGACTATGACTGTAAGAAACGGCAAGCCCAGAGGGAGGTGAGTGTAATTTCCTTTCCATTCTCTGTGAGAAAAGGCGCGAGCACCTCACTCATAGCTGAATCGGCTGAAGGCCGATCTCTCCTGGGATCGATTAGTGCTAGCGTTTGATCACCATGCATAACATTACGCTATATTCAAATTACCCACTACTGAAGACAATGTATAAGATACAGAGCTACAATAGCGGATTTCAGAAAACTCAAGGATTTTAGAGATTTCGGTGTAATGTACTGTAATGAGATGAGGTATAATTCGAACTTGAATTGAATTAGCCGACCCAAAAGCTGGGCGGTTGGATAAAGTAGTGTCGGTAGCAAAAATCCCGAACTTTAATGGAAAAGCTCCACAGTATCCTTTTGAAACCTCCGGAGAATCGTTGGAGTGACAAATCGGAGTACTAGTACTTACATCACGTGAACACGACAGACACCACCACAGGCATCCATTATCCTAAATACGCACTTTAAGGTCTCACAAGTCAACAGATTAATCGAAACCAATTTTCGATAAACGACAGCAGTAAGATGAGCTGGTTATAAATAAGCTAGTGAGTGAATGGTGTCAAATCTCCTCTAGCGAAATTAGATATATCCATTTTTGATATGACTGCATGACGTGAAGTCGGAAATGCCAGTGTCGATAATTGAGCCCAGCACAATATAAGAGACGAAAACAATGTGCGGCTCCATTTCTGCATGCCAAAGCTTATCGCAGCAGCACCCTCCGAGAGCTATGCTGGCAATAAATTATCCAAGCCATATATTCACCCAGACAATTTGCCATTAACAGAAATGAGCTGCATCGAACGGCGGCTGTGGGAGCTTTTCTAGCATTTTCGGGAATGAATAATTCATACGCTTTTATTGCTATTAGGGTTCAATTTGGAGTTTATGACCCGCTTTCAGCCGCGAGTCGCTCAATGAAGGCTACGGACGCAACACCTTGAAACCCAACACCAGCGAAACAAGAAACCGTTAACATGTGAAGGAGGAAATCTATGAACTCTAAGGCTTCTCATCATGTGTCGAAACAAATTGCAATTTTCGGCGTGACGTCATGTTGTTTACATCGCTAAGGACTATTCCTGATATATGGCCCGTCGCAGCGATTATCCTGAGAACGACCATCAAACGTGGAAGGAGATATCAAATATTTGAATTATGCGTATTAAGCACAGAGACCGTAGAGACCGTATCCAAACAGCACCTGCATAGCGCGCTAAATTTCTATAAATGCTGAGAAACTGCTGAAAAACCACGAGAGGTGCTGTAGTAGTGAATGGCGCCGCATACAGCCGATTCCTGCCCTTCTGCGACGTGTCTCCGATCCCTCTAGAGTCAGCAAATTTGATACTATAAAGGTTGTCCGGAAGAGAAAAAAAACACGGACTTCTACATCGATTGACCCTCGTTAGGGGTTGATACTTTGCGTCAGTGTTTCGAGCACACAGCAGCGTTTGAGCGTTCCGAGAAAGTGGGACAATGTATTGATCTAGCATTGCGAGCGTATGACAGCACTTTCAGTGAGCCCGGCAAAAGCGCAAAACTACCTACTAAACGCTCAAAACGCTAGATCGATATCTATATTTTAACAGCCGCTCAAAACGCTGTCGCATGCTCAGAACTTATGACGCTGAGTATGAACGTTTTCCAAGGCGGCTAATTTTATAGACATGTAGCATTCAAAGAGCAAGGGAGACAGAACGCATTGCGTGCTCGAAAAGGGAATGATAACCGCCGAAAGTCTCAAACTTCTTTTCCTCAACCTAATCGACACTTTATATGTCGACCGTGGATTAAAACCATCACTTTCTTTTCTTATAACAATCTCATTTACACTTATTTCCTAATGAAAATGCTGTGAGGCCTGAAGCCTGTTTGCTCATTAAGCCTCTACTCATTAACACATCGCACACAACAAGTAAATATTCTTACCTTATCCAGCATGCAATGACGCTAAACCACCCCCACCTAACCAGTACACAAAGCGAGAGCATACATGTTCGATGAACACGCCTCGCCACGTACAGTTACAGTTACAGGACAGATTTTACAGTAAAGATTGCGAATCTCCAGATCAGACAATAAACAGGAAAGCTTGAAGCTTTCAGCATATTTTTCGTACAATCTAAATGTTTCTTGCAGGTTGTAGCCATGATGGGAGTTGGGTCTGTGACAAGACAATCGCAATCTGCCGTGCTAGTGGGCGTGACGAGCGATGCCGCGCTTAACAGTCGAGTTTTTCTGCCTGGCCACTTGAAGTTAAGTGTTAATGGGACGGAAAAATCTGCGATGCTGGTTATGGAGTCGTGCACTCTTGAATTCATATGAGTTCCTCTGCTCTGATTGGCAAACTGATGGACATAAAAAATTGTCGCACATGGCCGCACGATATGCCGCACTCGGCACCGCGACAAATCGCAAGTGTTTTGTCTAGCTATGCATATCCAATGATAAATGGCTTAATCATTCATTTAGAGCATTGTTATGACATTGAACAAGTTTTAAGTCCTACGTCCGCTTCGATGTATTACTAACCGGAACTTATGACTGATTTCTGAAAAACAACACCGCTTGTAAGGACCCTAAAGGCTTTAGTACCAGGACCTAATGGGTTTCTAGAACAGGTTATTTATGCAACCTTGACAAAACAAAACGATTCAAGTCTAGCTCTGTTGAACAGCTAAATTATTCAAATCATAGGAGGAAGTGATTCAAAGCGAGGAAAAATTAATTCGAATTACGGGGCAAACGAAACGCCGCGAGCATCTTCAGAGTGGGCAAACACACAACGAGCCGGCCAACAGCTAACTGGAATATGAACACTATTAACGGCATTCAACAAAAAAACGCGTAATCACGTTCCTGCTGCTCAAGCGAGCGAATCGATAGCGACTACATGGGGATGCCTGAATATGTAGGATGTATGAAGCGCAGCATGTCCCCGTCGGGATCGAATACACATTGGACCATAACGAAACTAGGGAGAACAAAAAGCAACTTATCAATAGCAGAATGCTCTTCATTGAAAACACGAGCATCAGTTAGTTACATTTCGAATTCAGACGCATTACGATCTGTATTCACGTAACGGTCTTAAAACACAATGGGTGCGGGCCCACATCAAGTGAAATGAGGTAATAGTGCTTTACGAAAGTGCACAAAAAGACGGCGCTACACACACTTCGCTGGCCCACTTTTTGAAACTTACGCCTACATAACGGCACGCTCCGCGCTCAAGCAATTCGTACAAGTAGCCTGGTCCTCAGTCTCTAGAACTCTCCCACTTTGGCAGCTTCACAGGAAGTAACAAAGGCGCGCGGCCGCTCATATTCGGCAGTTCCGACGCCTGCCTGGTTCCCCTTCCCACTCAAAGCCATTTTCTGTCATAAGTTCAATTGTACACCGCGTTTTTTTTTGATTTTTCACTTGTAGATGGCATCAGTATTGGATAACACGAAGACAGGATCAGTGAGCCAAGGGCGGCGGGGTATCCCTCTGCTAAACGAGCAGATCAACAACTCGACAATGCAGCTGCCAGAATATCTTAGTGTGTTCTTCAGATTACTTTATGCTTTTTTCTTCCTTGAAAGTCTTTTGGCGACTATTGGTTCAGTATTGAACGCCACAATTCTCGATATGGAATCGCGGGTTTGTCTCAAAGGGATGCTCCACGTACATTTGTACGTTCATACGCCTTCTTTGGGAAGCAAATATGGGGAATGTACTACTTTCGCAGCTCAAAAGTACGAGAGGAAAGTGCTACCCGCTAGCGATGAGGCCACAGGTCCGCCCACTCGCCACGACAACGCCCAACTTCCATTCCTGAAGGCTTCCTTGCTTCTGGTGAAGCTATTCTTCCGCTTCCATTCCTTGTTCCGAATGGCAAGGGTGAGGTGATAGGTAGAGATAACTATCACCAGCAAGCAAGAATTCCTCCGACCAGACCCTGCTTGCGTCATGCACGTACAAGCGCGCTTCAGCCAGGGGTTCTGTATGGGACTTTCAGGCGGTTTTGCTGCTTTATTGCTTCTGTGCTATTTGCCGACCTGTCACTGGCTTTCGAACAGCAGAACTCACCATATTTTAGGGGGAGGTGTGCCTCTGGAATAAATTTGGCCCGAACTTCAGTTGCGGGAGTAGCTGAACCCAGAACACTATATCACATCCACATGAGCTAAAACGCCTGGGGAAATCGCCCTAGAGGAGTCTTAGGCCACTTCGCGTTTGCGTCCAAACTAGCCTGTGACCAAACTCTGGAAAAGTTTTCAGTCTGGTTGTTCCACCAAGTGATGCTTCAGGATATCGGAACAGCCTTGACGCCTCGTCTCAGAAATAATGAATGGGGATCTCATCACTTAGTCCTGCCTTGCTAGCCCTGTGAACCACTCTCCTTTTGATCCTTTTGGACCTGTGAACTTCGTGAGATGACCATGTGAAAAACTTTCTGTTGCAAATCAGAGCGAAGCTTGGCCGTTCAACAAAGAGATTGAAAAAACAAAAGAAAATCGTGTACAACGGGCAAAACGCATAGCGAAAGATAGAGCGGGAGGGAATGCTATCATATTAATCGGATACAAAGTGTTCTTTGACTGGATTTACAAAAAACTACCGAGACGTTGTAATTTACGTTCCTGTCACTGTACTACGAATCAGACGCTAGAAGCCAACGTTGATAAAGGAAACTTGGACGGAAACCCTCGCCTCGTGATAGCAGGAAATCAAACTAGCGAAAGTGCAGGCAGCACGCAATTACATCTTTGCGAGTCACCATAGCTATCACACAGCTTTACCCAAACAAATGGCGTGTAGGTTTCCAGAAAAAGTGGCAGCTTGAACGCCAGGTATCCGGTCAAAAAAGAAAAAAAGCGAAGATCGCACGCTATATCTTACCAATCTCACATATATCCCCTCCTGTTCACCTTCTAGTAGTGTTTATTATTCTGCTAAAATGACAATTTCACCCTTGCAAGCTCGTACACCACGCGTTTTCCAGATTACCAAGTAGCGCACTCGTACACTCCATATCTTGAACATGGGAAGGGCGTGGCTGGGTTCTACATTCGAACATGGCGAGGGCACATAGTTCGTGGGATACGGTAATTTGAG